CTTCCCGCAGAGCAGGGAGCCCGATGCGGGGCTCGATCCCAGGACCCTGGGATCATGACCTGAGCCGAAGGCAGACGCTTAATGACTGAGCCACCCAGGGGCCCCTCGCTTTTATTAGGTTTTGTTCTCCTCAGTTTCTCTTGGTTTTGACTTTGTTATCACTTCTTTTTAAACCCTTTTGAATAATGCGTGTTTGGAAAATGAAAACACATGGAGATGTAAATAAATATTTTCAGCGACTTGGGCATAACATTTAATATTTTGGTTTCATAATTATGAATTTTAGAACTCTCTCATTTTGGTAAACACTAGGGATTTATGGACAATTAGCATATAGTTTATGTGTACTCTTAAACCAGTAAGGACAGGTGTACCATTTATTATTAATTTTCTTTATTATAAACATTATAGTCATATAAGGAAGATGCTATAATATTTCACTGTGGTTATAGGAGCCTTCATTCCTGGAGTTCCGGTGCAGCCAATCCTCCTCAGATACCCAAACAAGCTGGTAAGCGTAGTGTTTTACTGTGGGAAAAATCGCAGACATTCCAAACAGCACAAATTCTCTAGCACCCCTTTTAAACTTTGAATAAAGCTCTGAATAGACACATGGTGGAAGAACATGGGCAGACTCCACACCCCTTGCCACATGGAGCATTTAGAAGTTTGCAAGATGGCACGTACTTGTGGACACCAATATTACATTTTGTCTCTGCTGTTATTAAGCTCCAAGAAGGCATTTCCTTAGCTTCTACTCTATTGTCACGGTAATGGTACCAGGGTCTTCTTAGACTGGGTAGCAGAAAACTTGCATAAAGTTGTGATTTTCACTAAGCCCACAAGGAGACTTTTCCTGATTCAACGGTTATTACTGGAAGGATAACTGGTGTAGCAGGATAAATCTGGGATTGCCTTGGTGTTTCATTCCTGGCTCAGTACTTACTAGCTGTGTAACTCTTAGCAAGTAACTTAAATGAGAAGATAGATAGGGAAAGAATCTGTCATCCTATAGAAAGTGCACAGTTGGCTTAGGAAACAGTCTCTCTGCTCCAGCCGGGTACACCATTGTCCTCTGGATATGGATGGTGCCACCATTTTCCTATAAAGAGAGGTTTTTTTGGAATCTGTTTTGGTTCTGAGAGGAACTTTCTCTACTACAGACTCTACATAAAAAAGCAGGCTGTAATTAATTATCTATGTTATTTAAGGTCAAGAGTTCTTGCTCAATTCAGCTTTTCTTTCGGTGGCTGGCTTCTCAACTTTCAACATCTGGATTTAAAAAAATTAAAATCCATCAAAATTTACTTATTATACTTCTGCCTATTTGGCATTTTCTCAAATTCTTTCACTATGTACTACTTTAATCTTTTCTTCCAAATACCCATCCCCCTCTTTTTGAGAAAAGATACATTCTGGGGTTTGTAAGCAAATTAATTACCCAGATATGTTCATATTAGGAGAAAAATAGCTAAGCATGGACATTGCTTTATTAAAAATTAAGAGCAACTTAATTCCATAAAAAGATAGGTGGTTACATATGGAAAACAGATTTTTGCTGCGTAGATATATAATCCAAGAATTCATAGAGCAATTCACTGCTGATAATAGGCTCGTTTTACTTTTCTATATACTGCTTTTAATTCAGAAGGAAAGTATACGAATACCAATATTAAAATAAGATTTAGGTTTTATTTGGCATTTTTTCACTGAGCTAACAGTCTAAATACTTCTGTTATTGTAGGATACCGTGACTTGGACGTGGCAAGGATATACATTGTAAGTCGCTTCTCTCTATTATTGGTTTATTTAAATTTTATTCAAGAGAAGAAAAAAAAGATAATTTATTCCTTCTTTTTTTAAGAAAAAGCCTTGGTTTTTTTTTGTAAAAGTAAAGATTTCTTTTTTTTAAAGATTTTATTTATTTATTTATTTATTTGAGAGAGTGTGTGTGTGCAAGATGGGGGAGGAAGAGGGACAAGTAGACTCTGCCTGCTGAGCCAGAGCCTGAGCCCAACACAGGGCTTGATCTCACAACCCTGAGATCAGGACCTGAGCCGAAATCAAGAGCCGGACGCCCAACCGACTGAGCCACCCAGGCACCCCTAAGAGTAAAGATTTCTAATCAGATCCTGAAATCTTGTCACTGAGCAGTCTCTGTAGAGAGCATCACTACCTTGCCCATTAGCCCCTGGCCCCTCGCATGTGCAGAATTCTAGCTGTCTGCCATGTTCTTATGGGTCTCAAGTGTGTATCTACCAATTCTTAAGAACCAGTCCAATGACCTGGTTTGCATCCTACTTAGCTTTAATCTTGTACTTTTATTTCCATTGCAGACTTATCATATTAGCTGGTGTCTCCATTGTTGTTTTACTATATCGGTTTAAGCAGTCCAGAGCCATTGCATCATAATGGCCTGAAATAGCAGTGATGTGTCTGATCTGAGCTGAGAAAATAGCTAAGCTTTCAGTTCCGTTCTTGGACTTTAAAATCATAGGGATCAGCAGTTTCTATAAACATTTAAGAGAGGAGAGGAATACAGCTCACCAGTAAGCAAGCTGAAGTGAAACAGGCCTTCAGAAAGAACAGAACATGTAGAATCTTACTTTCCCTCAAGACGTTTTTTCGAGTTCCCCCTGGATACGTCTGAGCTGGTTTATACTGCAGTGAGAGCCATGTATAAAATGCCTGGATTTGAGGGCTTTGCCCAGGGGCTTACCCAGCAATGCCTTTTGATACTGAACATAGAGAGTTCACATAACATTTTTGATGCATAGACAACCACTTGGACATATGTAAAGGGGAGTCATCATTTGCCTTCAGGTACCTTGTGAGTTCCTTAGATCATCCAAACAACATATGAAAGTCTGATTTTTTTTGTACTACATACTGATTTTTTCCATTTTGTGTGTGTGAATTGCATTGAAATAATAAATTTAAATCAGAGTAGGTAACTGATGGGCCAGTTACATGTGTTAGTGTTTATTAACATGTGAGACACATATGTTCCTATTATGCTTCGGCCCTTCATAGTTGAAGTTAAGTAAACGACTCTCAAAATAAAGACCATCAATTGCAAAGGATATCTAGGCATTATGTGATCTTTAACTCTTCAGGAAATCGGTTTATTCATTTGGCTAGAATACATGTTTCATGTCACTGTTGATCTTGAGTTCCTGGTTTTCAGCTTTTTATACAAGGGCAAGTGAGGAGAAACAAATCGTATGAGAGCATTTTAGAAAAGGGAGTGCCTAAAAACTGGGTGCAGAGCATCATTGTATGTCGTGAGGTGTGTCATCCTCAGGGTCTTTACAATTTAAGGTCCTTTACAGCGACAGTGACTGCAGGTTCCCTGTGTGGTCAGTGTGCCTTGTGTAACTTGTGCGGCAGTGCAGGTGGGCATGAAGGTCAAGTACAGGAAGGCCCTCCTGGAAGGGGGATCAGGATAGGAAATGGAACAGTGGGGTTGATCTAGCCTTCTAACCTGGGACATGTGTGATAAAGGGAAAAAGAAAATAGGAGAGGGAATCAGAAAAGAGAGGGAAAACATTTTTTCAGAGGTAAAGATTTCTTAGGACCGATAAACACAAAATCCTCAAAAGGCACAATTTTGTTTTGTCCAGATGCCACATTGCACTTGACTATGGTGACTCTCATTTCCACTTTTATCTTCCGACGGGCTTCATGGTGTATTTAGCACTGTGCTGTTACTTTTAAGTCCGTTTTCTCAATTGCCTTCGCTCTAAGGGTGAGTCTAGACTGAGATTCTAAGGAAGAGAGTCTATACTAAGGCAGATAGCCTAAGGGAGAAGGTTAATAAACTCAGGGAGTACACTTATAGAAGGGGCAGCTATGGAAAAATCTGTTTTGTGTGGGTCCGAGAAGTGTTTGGTTTGGGTGTATGTAGACAACATAGGTTTAATGAGATCTTATGCCTGGCTCCTTCCTTCCTTCCTCCATCCCTCCCCACCATCCCTCCCAGCCTGCCTGCCTCCCTCCCTCCCTCCCTCTCTTCCTTCCTTTCTTCTTTGTCTTTCTCTCTTTCTTTCTTTCTTACAGCATTCAGAATTTTCAGAACAGATTTATCTATTTGAATCACTAACTTCCAAAGGTCAATTTAAATAAATCAAGAACAATTTACTTTGTGGTAAATAATATGGATTGATTTTTTTTGCTTGGGGTTGAAAGTAAAAGATTATTTTCCTCTCAGATGGAAAATTTGAGAACTGATACTTAACATTCACAATTTATAATTATATATGGAATTGGTACATCTACCTAAATTCCTTCTTTTAACTAAATAACTTGTTTAAATTTCTAAATTTCTTGTGTAAAGTAAGTCCTTTAAGTAATTTTTTATAGATCAATCATATTTTAGTTTCTTTTTTTTTTTAGAGAGAGAGAGATAGAGCACAAGATGGGGGGAGGGGCGGAGGGAGAGGGAGGGACAGAATCTTAAGCAGACTCCCCACTGAGTACAGAGCCTGACACGGGGCTCAATGTCACGACCCTGAGACCCTGACCTGAACCAAAATCAAAAGTCGGATGCTTCACCAACTGAGTCACCCAGGTGCCCCAATTTTAGTTTCTTAACAGCAAAAACAGGTTGGTGGTTTTCTTAAACATGTAGGTTAATCCACTCTGCCAGAATTCTGGGTCATCTGTCTAAATGAGGCAAAATAAAAATCCCATTGACATCCTATCCAGAGAGTCTAAATATGTATTAGAAAGCCATACATAGAAACAACTATTTCCAAAAATTTTCTTTGAAAAGGTTGATTATAATCATTTTAAAGCCTTTGTCCTCTGTCCAGCTTTACAATGAAAGAAAATTTCTCCATAACTTAAACATTTATTATTAATTGGGGCAGTTATGATAAAGTTTCTGCTCTTAGGGAAAGACCCGCTGATTTCTTTTCTTCTTCTTTTTCTTTTTTTCATATCAGGAAAGAGTTTAGAAATGTAATGTTCTACTCAGGAGTTGTCCTATAAACACACTTATCTGCCTCAAATTGTGGCCTCGGTAGTTTCTCTAAGGGACTTAGGCCTACAAGTCCGAGTTGTCAAGGAGACTTCAAATTTGGGGTTTAGCGTGCTGAGCTGCAGCTCTGACTCACAAGTGGATATTTGATATTGCATTTGGTGATTTAACTTTCGAATATCACGGATACTTGTTCAAGCCCAAGGAGTGTTATAGCAGGAGGGTGACATTTATAAATGCAGAATATACATGAAGTGTGACGGGGTGGTGCTTGTGTTTGAAGAAAGGATCGTTGAGTGATAATATTAGATGGTACTCATATTACCACATAAAGATGGCCTGCTCTTTTTTCTCTTCAGCATTCAGCTTTGTGTGCTTACTTTCTGCCAGCCCTTCACGAAGGTGGAAGTTGAGGTAAGTCATTCAACATGTAGCCTTGGAACTGGAGATTTGGCCTTCCCTTTTATTTCGAACTTCTAGTCTAGAGAGCCCAGCTGTACAAAGGTTGGAAGTTAGATCCACTCTCTTTAAAATAAGCCCTGGCCTTTTACAAATTATCCACCTGGCTCTCAGATCCAGCTCTTAGACTCTTACCAGGAAGTAGTGCTAACTTCTGGGAACTTCCACATTATAGCAGTCCCTGACTGACTAGATTTGCATAACTGCATAACTACTTTCAAGGCTGACCTCCGCCCAGTGGGATGGTAGGCTTCACGTCCTCACAAAAAGCAGCTACAGTAGCTGATGGAGGCCTAGAGCTCCTGGAAAAGTATGTTCTGTCAAAGTGGAGAGGCACAGCCGGTCAGAAGCCCTCACGGAAGGCTTGAGGAAATCCTAGCTGGGAGGCCATTCATATCATCGTTCATGGGGCACTCTTTCACCTTGAGTTGTGGTGGCAGGCAGGGAGTGAGGGAGTCATTTGATCTTTCTGAAAATTCTGACCAGATTTTCAAGACTCTGAAAGTTGGTTCCAGAACGGTTCTTAGGTTTTAGGAGTGACGTGAAATGGACCCCTAAATGCAGAATTGACTTGGTTTTAGTGATACTCCCGGGTAGCCTCTGAAGAGAGGGTCAGAGGAGTGAGGCAGGCCTTTGATTCCATTTTCCAGCTGCATCCATAGATTGTGTAATGAGAACTTGAAGTTTGCATATGTAATCCAGAGTTCTGAGTGGGGGCCCGTGCTCCAAGTGACAGGACATGGAATTTAAGTCCCAAGAATACTGTCTTTTACTTTGTTTTATAGCTTAGTCATTTAGCCATGTAGAGAGTGTCAGCAATACCAAATGATACAGGAGGGCAAATTATATTTCAAAATGAGTTTCACTTTGGTTGAAATTTTTCTTGAGACTTGCAGGTTGCCTGCCTGCCAGGAAAAGATCTGTTCATTAATTATATGCCACATTTCCCCACATTTAAAACTAGCTCGGTATCTCTCAGTATGACCAAAAAAACACTAGTTCTTGAAATATACATAGATGTTTCTAGAGAAAAACACTAATCTGTGCCCTAATAATTAGTTTAAGAAGTACCAAGGTGAACAAAATGAATCCAATTTCATTCCTCAAGACCTGTCAGTGCCTTTGAGATGGTTTGACCACAATACCCCCTTTTCTCTGGATACCTCCTGAAACTGATGTTCCATAGGATACATTTTGGGGAGCCCTGTCAGGAAGAAATTTTATATTATTTCTAAGTACCCCAAGCAGGCTCTTCCTTCTTTAATAGCTGTTCAGATAAACTAGCCCTTTGTTCTTTGTCTAAAAAAAAAACAAAACAAAAACAGGAAAACTCATACTTAAAACAGCCACACTGTCTTCTGTGCAAATTTGGAAGATATTGTGTATACAGTGTATATGCTGCCCCTTCCCATTTACCCTCCCCAGCTAAAACAAGATCTAGCAACAGATGTGGAAATACACATAGAACTGTACTTCTTTTGTCTACATGTGTCAGTGGTCAAACTGTTACAACAGAGGTAGGCAAAGTCCTCTTTTTTGCCCTGAACATTATTACATTATTACCACATTTCCTTTCTGTGTCATGGCCGGCCTGCCTACCTTCTATCTTTCTTTCCTTTTTCCTTTCCTTCCTTCCTTCTTTCTTTCTCTTTCTTTCTTTCTTTCTTTCTTTCTTTCTTTCTTTCTTTCTTTCTTTCTTTTCTTTCTTTCTTTCTTTCTTTCTTTCTTTCTTTACGATTACAATATTTGCTTTCTCCAGCCAGCTCTTAGACCTGTCTGGATAATATTTCCTGGCAAAGAATATACCCTTTGATAACTTCACAAACAAAATGGCTGCCAACCTGTCTAAAATAGCAGAATTGGTGAGATTCAATGTATTAGAATTGCCATACATGGCAAGAGGATGGGGATGTGTGGCCTTCAAGTTTCATCTTCTTAGTTTAATTATATTTCTCTGAGATTTATGGTGCTACCTCTCATTCAGGGCACTCCTCACTACTTTATGACTTTTGAATATTTTAATTCCCCCCAGGTTGGGTGCAGCTGAAAACTGTATCCCACTGCCCGTCAGGTGCTAGGTGTATCCACACCCCAGCTCAAGAGTCTCAAGAGCTGGGCATTGCATCCAGGCTTTTGTACCACATCCGAGGAGGCCCGGCTTGAGCTGCCACACATGTAGCTTACCTGGAAGGCTCAGTGCACTTAGTTGCACCAACGTCAGGTGACTTAGTTACTCAGAAGCACCCTCCCAGCCCACTACCACCTCCGTGTTCTTTAAAACTGTTGGAAATCGGGGGCACCTGGGTGACTCATTTGATTAAGCCTCTGACTCTTGATCTCAGCTTAGGTCTCGATCTCAGGGTCATGAGTTCAAGCCCCACATGGGCTCCACACTGGGCATGGAGCCTACTTTAAAAAGAAAAAACTGATGGAAATCCTAGTTATTATTTTTTCACATATGTTTTTAGAACTTTGTGAATATTAATTAGGTAAGCTTAACTGAAGATGTATCATTTAAGAATATGGTCTTAGGTTTGTGGTTTTTAAAATGAACTTTGAGTGGATCATTTGGTGTCCTTTTAGGCACTCTGCCCTGGTGAGTCACGGGACATCCCAGGACGTGGAAGGCCTTATTCTTTCATCTTTTACAAGTCATCCCTCACTGATAATGATTTTCCAACTCCGTAGTTGCCAGAATCATTGGATAGCTAAAATCTAGAGAGTGTAATACTGAAGGGTGTTTTTCTTGTCTCCTCTCCCCACTCCCTCTCTGCTTCCTCGACAGAGACTTTTTTTTGAAAAGGTCATTATTTTCTTGGACTCTTGAATCTTAAAAATATAGCCAGTTCCAAACCGCGTGCCCTCTGTAATTGGTCTTCCAGCATCCGTGAACGATGAGGCCATGTATGTCCACAGAAGGCCTACTGAAACTTATTCTCTGGATCATAGTGGCCTAGTGGGTGTGTTTAAAGTGTCTTTTAGTGGTTACTTTTATTGGCCAGCTACTTCACAAGTATGGCTTTATAAGCAGATGGCTTAGGGACATAAGGAAGAAGATAGCTAGTAGGAAACATCGCAAAATGGGACATAAATCAACAGCCTGCTAGTTGTACCTCATGAGAGAGAATCCACACAAAGCTAGACTATCAGGCATTATGTGGGCAGCAACTGGTTTATGAATGGAAGCAGGGCATTCACAGGGACCATCAGTCTGTTTCCTCCTTCATAGGCTGTATCTCCATATATCTCCATTTGTACACAGAGCCACCCATTATAATACAGACACATGGTTGTCCGTAGGCATATAGACGTATTTTGTTTTAGTAAAATTCCTTTGTAAAGCTTAAAAGAAGCTTCTGGTGGCGAGCATTAGACCTACAATACTTTATGAGGGGCAATCCATTGCTATAAGTAGTAGAAAGGGATTTTGTTTTTTGTTTTTTGTTTTAAGATTTTATTTATTTATTTGACAGAGAGAGACACAGCGAGAGAGGGAACACAAGCAGGGGGAGTGGGAGAGGGAGAAGCAGGCTTCCCGCCGAGCAGGGAGCCCGATGCGGGGCTCGATCCCAGGACCCTGGGACCATGACCTGAGCCGAAGGCAGATGCTTAACGACTGAGACACCCAGGCACCCCAAAAGGGATTGTTTTTCATTAAAAAAAAAAAATTCTGATTTAGGAAAGGATTGTAATAATGAGTGTTATGATCAATACCTGTAGATAGATAACAACTTTTTAAATCTCTAAAGAGTTCATTACTCAGGGAAGGTTCAGATATATTTATATAGTTTACTTAAATATCCAAACACACTCAAATGATTTATAGTTTTGAATCTAAAATGAATGGGCCTTTTAGAAAACCTCTATCACATAAATACACACACATAAACACACACACACACACACACAAACCCACATATGTACCTGTTCTAACAAAACTAATTTCTTCTGGAACTTGGTAGAATTCTGAAATTTCTAAGTAGTAGCAGAGAAATGGAGTGTTATATCTATTTTTATTTTTTTAGACAGAAAGAGTGCATGAGAAGGGTCGGGGTAGAGGGGCAGAGGGAGACTCAAGCAGACTCCACGCGGAGCATGGAGCCAGATGCCAGGCTCGATCTCACGACCCTGAGATCATGACCTGAGCTGAAATTAAGAGTTGGACGCTTAACCAACTGAACCACCCAGGTGCCCCAAGAAATGGAGTGTTACTAAAAACAGTATTAGCTGGGGTTTTATTCCAATTCTGCTACTACCGACCTGTATGTGCTTGAGTAAATGACTTAAGCCTCCCCTAGCCTGTGTTCTTACTGGGAAAATGGGGATAATAATAATTCTTTTATAGGGTGGTTAGCATTTAATAAGGTGACTTAAGTGGCAGCACACGGTAGGTGTTCAGTAAGCATGCAGTTGTCTTTCCCTTACCATCTAAATTGTCCCTTTCTTTTGGGAAGAAGGCAGCAAATGTTAGTTCATAAATAACCTTCCTTCGTTCGCATTTGCTCTTTTTGAAGCCTTCACAGAACAATCATGGGACGAACCAGAACTGCACACCTGTTGAGACTGACTCATCAAAATCCTTTTCTGTTCCTTGGAAAAAGAAAAGGCTGTTGGTAGTATCATCACTCATCAGTCTTTTTACAAGCATTTATTTAGTAGAAAAGAATGTGCTCGATGTGGTCAGGAAACAATGAATAAAGCAGTTTTACTGGTCCCGAGTGTTCACGTGAAGGATTGGCTCTGGATAGTGGATGGACTTCAAAGTAGGCCAAAGAATTCTGACTTTATCTTTTTTTTTTTTTTAAAGATTTTATTTATTTGAGAGAGAGAATGAGAGATAGAGAGCACAAGAGAGAAGAGGGTCAGAGGGAGAAGCAGACTCCCTGCTGAGCAGGGAGCCCGATGTGGGACTCGATCCCGGGACTCCAGGATCATGACCTGAGCCAAAGGCAGTTGCTTAACCAACTGAGCCACCCAGGCGCCCCTGACTTTATCTTGTGCGTAGCCTACGGCCCAAGAGATGGTGGGGCACTGTGGGACCAGAAGGGCAAAGGGGATGTTCCTATGGGAAACACATCCGTTAGGCGCCCCCTTATATGGGGCAGGATGGTGCGGAGCCTGCAGGCAGAGGACCAGAGCAGTCAAGGGAGGAGGGCAAGGGTGCCGGGAGCCTGTCTCAGGAGCAACAGAAAAGAATTAGAGAAATGCACGCAGGCTTTTGTGGGGAAGGAGAGCCTTCCCTCTACCCACCTAAGTTCCATAGCTGGATCTGTGAAATAATCTCACCACAGGCAGATGCATAGGAGAAAAGGTATACAGATTTATTGATTTTTAATACGTGCACAAGGGCGTCACAGGGAATAAAAAGTGAATATCCCAAAAAGTGGTGAGAAAGGAGAGGGAGGGTGTAGGCCACTCAGGGCAGCGTCAGTGATCTTTAGGAACAACAAATGGGCCCTGGGAAGAATAGACTGGAAGCTAGGACAGCACGTGATAAAGTTTGTCTGGGTGTGATGTCAACCTCCAGTCGCATCTCCTGTGATAAGAGTCCATCTTCCCTGTTTGATGAAACTCCCCAGGAGAGAATTTATGACAACTGAGTTCCTTTTTTTTTTTTTTTTTTTTTAAGATTTTATTTATTAGTTGAGAGAGAGAGAGAGCACAAGCTGGGGGAGAGGCAGAGGCAGAGGGAGAAGCAGACTCCCCGCGGAGCAGGGAGCCCGATGTGGGACTCGATCCCAGGACCCTGGGATCATGACCTGAGCCGAAGGCAGACACTTAACCGACTGAGCCACCCAGGCGCCCGACAACTGAGTTCCTTTTGGAGGAGTTGACTTTAGGCACATAAGGGAAGTTCAGGGAAAGCCTCTCCCTGCATTTGCCATTTTTCAAGTGCCTTTAGCTCAGAACAATCGATGTACCAAAGTGGTACATTATGGGGTAGCCTTGTCCTGAACTCCACTGTTTTCTTTCTAACGTTGAATGTGAAGTGCCATTGAGGGGAAAGGTGAATCGCAACCTGAGAAGCATGGACTGTGCCTGAAACATTAAAATATGATGGCGGCACGCCCAAAAGGCATACCCCAAGCAGCCGTGAGGACCCTGTGGAACTTAACATGAATTTGTAGTAGATTCCACCCATGAGACTGTGGACCTCTCTTTTAGCATCCCTCAGTGGACAGGGATGGGAAGGCAACAGCAGGAGAGGTGATCACGGGTTGGCGCCATGGGGGTGGCAGAAGGGGGAGATTCCAGGTGACAGAAGGTCCACATGGATGTGTCTGACTCCTGAAGTCCAGTGAAGACAGGCAGCCAGCTGTCGCCAGGAGGGAGTGGAGGAAGAGGGACGAGCACGTCCTGAGAGTGACCAGCAGGTTCTCACCGCTGTGACGGACCGGGTTAGAGATAGAGAAGCAAACAAGAACTCATCAGAGGGGATGAACATCATTGTCACTGTTATTGTCACCGAGGCCAAGGCACAGCTAAAAACTTCTGTGACCAGGTGAAGAGATCAACATGTCAGATGAACCATCTGTGTGGATACTCAGCATAATGAGAGAAGAGGAAGGTGGAAAGGAAAACTGGGGGTCCTGCAGTCACGAGGGTATCGAGCTGTGTGTTAGCGGACAGCCGTAGACGATGGCAATCATGTTTCCCTGTCTTCGGCCAATTTTCCTTCCCAAATAGAGGCTGTGTTTTTGCTGTGAGCCTTGAATGACCACATACAAAATAGAAATGTGATAAAGAGGGCAAGGTCTGCCCCGAGGAGAAGTGAGTTTTTATGAGAATTTCCATTGTATTGCTTCTCAGGAGGCATGGGGAGCCTCCAAGGCCCGTGAGGGTCAAATCTAGGCTTTTAATTATTTTGTACTCTCAGTGGAATTTTCTTCATTGAGAATAAAATGTCATGCCCATAGGAGAGTTATTAAAAATCATTTTATGGAAAATATTACCTGCACTAAAAGGAATTAAACCCACAGTTCACTGTATTATGCTTGGTTAACAGTGTAGCAGCAATTTATTTTTCAGGGTTGTCTGGATGTGCTTTTATAACCTACAAATTAAGTGTTGTTACAAACGATCATGTGGCTTTTTTAAAAAAATGAAGAATCGTATGGCAATTTAAAACTTTATCGTTTTATTTTGTTAGAGACTTTACGAACATTGATTTTAACATGGAATTTTCTTCCTTGGATTTCATACAAAGCAAATATAAGAGATGAAAATCTAGCACAGGATGGAGGGAATTTTGAGAAATATTTATTTGCAAAGATCCGTTGTTGCTCTGGATAGATAAGTGATGTGGGGACCTCTGGTGGCTTAGTTTATTTTTCCATCTTGAAGAATAACCTGATACTAAGTGGAAAGCTAGACGTAACATTCCAGTTGGAGAGGGCCTTTGAGATCATCGAGCCGAACTTTTTCATTCGACAAGAGAGGGCACTGAGTGACCTCAGTGGTTCAAGCCTGATTCAGACCTGACCCCATCAGGGCTGAATAACTTTTCCAGGATCTCACGGCAGAGCGTAGGCCCCAACCGGGCCGAGCGCTCTTTGTGCAGCATGCCCCTGCTCCCCTGGTAGAGAAGGTTAATGACGGTGCATATCACACAGCGCGCTCTCCCGTGATTCGTATCCACGGTTGGAAAATCATTCGTATCCTAAAATGCCACTTGCATCCATGCTGTCCTCTGTGCCCTCACTCCCCCTCCTCGCTCTTGCCTTCTCTCACAGAGTGATTGCAGTAACCTCCCGGGCTTCTCCCTGCTCTTAGCCTTTTCCTCTTTGGCTCAGCGATTCCCTACCACCGATGTTTCTACTCAAAAGCTTGGACTCGGTCACCACACTCCTTTGCTCAAATTTCATCTCCAAATTGCCCTTTCCCCAAAGGCGATTTAACGTGATTAACAAGATTTGAAAACAGGTCCACGTGAGTCCAAAAGTGGTGTTATTTGTACATATCTTTCTTTTTCTTTCAAATCGCAGTCCTGCCACTGGGGTGTGGCCTTGGCTACATTGTTTCGCCTCTTCAAGCTCCTTTCTCCACCCACCAAATGGAAATGGTAGAGCTGGCCTCCAGGAATTGTTGAGAGTTCATCTTATGAAGTACCCAGCACACAGCAGGTGCCTAATGGATGGCAGCTCTTATTGGTGGACTTGACTCATCTGTCATAATTTTTACCCCACTGCATGGAGGGCCCCTTGACGGCAGGGGTTTCCTTGTCATGTCTTCAGGGTTTCATGCTGTGCCTGGCCTCCAGTAGGTGCCTAAACAATATTTGTTGAACGTAAGTGGGCCATGAAAACTTGAGCAAGTCATTTAATCTTTGTGAACCCCAATCCTAATGACGAAAATCGGGAGGATTGGTGAAATGAAATAATGCGTATAAAGCACCTACCATGGTGCCTGGTTCGTAGTTAGAATTCAATGAATAATAGCTATTGGTGAGATCCTGTTTATCCTCAAAAAGCCAAGATCAAGTATCAGCTCTTCTGTAAAGCCTCTTTGGCTGCTTTTCTCTCCCCCCTGGCCAAATTAATCATTTCTTATCCCTCGCTCTCATACTCCAGGAGGGATGGTTTAGTGGGGAAGACAAGGGTTTTAGAATCCGACAGAACTGGGGCTGAGTCCTAGTCATGTGACCTGTATAACTCTAAACTAACTTAATGAAGCTTTTAAGCCCTGTCATTGAGGGTAATGATACTTAGCACATGCTGTGTTGGTCTATCCTATTAAAATATGAATCTTTTTTGGAGCAGGAATAGAGTCCTGTTAATCTTGCGTGGGATATGGTAGGTGCTCAAAAACGATGTAATGACTTAAACATAGCACCAAAATCTCATTAACGTTCGAAAACTGTAAATAAAACAAGGACGGCACCAATGAGGCACCCCCGAATATCAAGTAGAGAAAAAAAAATTTTTTTTAATGATAAAGCAAAACAACAGTGTTCAGCAAAAGCTAGACAGCCAATACTAAAGGTTAGAAGAAAGCAGAAGAGGTTGCCTGGGTGGCTCAGTTGGTTAAGCAACTGCCTTTGGCTCAAGTCATGATCCCGGCGTCCCGGGATCGAGTCCTGCATCGGGCTCCCTGCTCAGCGGGGAGTCTGCTTCTCCCTCTGACCCTCCCCACTCTTTTTCTCTCTCTCAAATAAATAAAATAAAATCTTTAAAATAAAAAAAAGAAAGCAGAAGAAATGACAAAACGTGACATTTGAACAAATGTTAAAATACGGCCGACACAGGGGTGGGTAGAGAAGATAAACCATAAGAGATAAGCTACTACCAATACTAACATTTTCACACAAAGTGCTGGAAGTGGTAGAAAATGCAGCGTGGAGAAGAAGATCTTCATACCTCCAGCTTTACAACTTCCAGAATTCCAGGCCCTGGCTCAGTTCATCCTCATCACAACCACGGAAGTGGGTGATCATTGCCCTCTTGTCAGAGTCCAGGCGACAGTGAAGAAAACTTTAGGGACATCCTCATGAACACACAGAAAGACCCAGGGCTTAGCTGCAGATCCCCTGAGTCCAAGCAGTGTTCTTTCCACGATAGCATATAACCTTTGTGCCGGAAAGGTGGTGGGGGATTTAATATAATGATAGATAGGTTATAAATTAATATATGTGACATGTAACGTCTTAGGCCCAACAGTTGTGACAGAAAGGTATGTCTGTCTTTCAGTTTATGCCTGTTCAGAAACCAAATGATGAAGAAAAAAGCGATCCTCTCCTTTTTGCTGGTAGAGTCCGGAATTTAATGGCAGAGTAAGTGTCTATATGTGATCCCAGTCAGTAAATAGTTTTTAAATGATTGGTCAACGGCATTTCGCATAGTTTTAGGATTTGGGTGTTTTGTTTTATTTTGTTTGGTTTCATCTTTAGGGCCTCATTCCCTAACTCATTTTGGTAAGTAAAATAATGTGCCTGGGAAGGTGGTCAGTAAGACAATCTGTAAATATTTTCCCCAGATGCAGCCCCAAACTAATGGAAATGGGGTTTTGCCGGAAGCGGAGCAGGGAGGCTTCAGTAAGCAGAAGAGACCAGCCCGTGACTTCCACAGGGTGGGTTCTCCTCAGCTGGTCTGTCACTGTGACACAGAGCCTTGTGTCTGAGCCATTCGTGGCTTGCCTTCCGTGCCCCAGCTTCCACGGAGCAGCCAATGCCGGCTGATTCAAGGGCATTAATGATTATAGCCACACAAAGGAGAAAGTTTGCAGGGGAAGGCAATAGATGCACAGAAAAGGGGGGAAGTCACCCCCATTAAGGGATGGCTGGAAATTTAAGATTTGTAAATTGTAAACATAAAGCAAATATTTTCCTGCTCTTAAAGGAGTTTTAACTGGCCATGACTCTGATTAGATAAATCACCTCTCGTCCTATAATGAACAAATGTTTGTGATACTGTCCTACCACCCAGGCAGCCCTAGAGCCTTCCCAGTGTGCACCCCACGCCAGGCACTACCCCCCTTTGTCATTCCTGTAGTAGGCGTGGCACTGATAGGCCAGCAATATGTATTCCTAGTAAAAATTCAAATGAGAAATCTGAATCTAGCTTCATAGCTGAATTTGGTATTATAAGCAAGATTATATATACCCAGATTCATATTTCACAGCAAAATAACTTTATTTTCACAACAGCATAAGTGTTCAAATGCTCAAAAGAATTTCTACTATGTGTACTTACATTTACTTGATTTTCCCATTTACTCGGGTTATCTAACATAATCTTCACAGCAATTCTTGGAGCCAAGCCAGGAAAGTGAGATTCAGAGAGAGAGATCGTTTGCCCAAGATCATAGCAGATAGTGAGGGTCTGGGCTGGGACTCAAATCCACATTTCTTGTGACCCAAGCCCAAGGTCTTAACAGGCATCTCTACTGTCTAGGATTATAAATTATAAATTTAAAATATTTAAAATTTTTATTTTCCCAAATAAAAATACTCTTACACCAAAATATTTATTAATCAAAAACAGCCTAGTTGTAGATAGAAAAAATATTTCATTCTTTTGCATCTGTTGAAAATGTAATGTTCTTAGCAGTGATTCAACAAAATCAAATACAGTTGAAGACAGAACTTTATGATTCTCACTGAATAACTGTGAATAAAAGTTTTGTGAAGAGGAAACTTCAAGAAATTATTTAATGTACCACGCAGGCTTTTTTCTCAGCACTCAGTGTCTTTTGAAGTTGTTATTAATATCTATTTTTTTCAAATCTAGTCCGTTATTAGACCTCTGAGCAGGTGGGAGCTAGTAGGGGTCATGCACTCCTTTGAGGATGGAGGACGTTTAGGTTTGGGAGAAATAATGAGCTTGTTCTCCATTCTCTTTCGTATTTTCGGAAGACTGTTAGGTAGCAAGAAGTGATCTCTAGTTTTGAGAGATGAAAAACGCAGATGGCAAGCGATTTGGCTAAATTGTCCCCTTTCGTATATACAGAGGCCATTTATCTGTGTAAATGGCACTTCCACAGGCCTTTTTAGTTTATCTTCACAATAAAGAATGCTGTGCAGTAGGTAATTATTCCTATGTGCAGATGACAAAAGTGAGGCTTAGGTTAAGAGCCAAAAGGTCCACAGTTGGTAAGACACTCCACTGGAATGAAACTCAAGTATTCTTGCTTTCCCCAGATACTGAAGTCAGCCAGTATCATGGTCACAGTTAAAACACCAAACAAATGACCAGCTGACCGAAGCATGCAGACTCGGCCACAGGAAGTCTGTGCAGAAGAGAAATATGTGTCTTTGGCAATAATAAGCCAAAGCTACTGGTTTGAACAGTAGTAAATACTTTCCCATTTACTGTTGTTTGTTGACCAGTTCAGGGCTGATGAAAAAAATCATTACCTTTAAAAAAAAAAAATTGAATTTGTTTGCTTTTAAATGCCTTTTAGAGCTTTGGGAATTCCCGTAACAGATCATACCTATGAAGACTGCAGATTAATGATTTCAGCAGGACAGCTAACATTGCCTATGGAAGCTGGGTTGGTGGAATTTACCAAAATTAGCCGGAAATTGAAGTAAGTATATTTTTAAATTGCTACACTTTCATAAGGGTGTCCCCCAGAGATCTGACATCTTATATGTTTCTTTTCTCTGGTTTCATTAATGCCCAGCTCTAGAACCCACATGGTGTTTATTAAGGAGGCCAGGGCTGTGAATTCATCTCCCATTTAGTTCACCTAATTGTGTTTTTTCAAGAACGGTTAACTTGGAAGCGTGCGTATTGGTCACAGGAGGAGCCCGACAGAGATAGTCAATGTGGAGCAGCATGGATCTGCCTCTCTCAGAAGTGTCTCAGAGCAGTCGGTCTGTCCTGCTGCCCTCTTGCTAGAAGGATGACAGAATTAGATGGTACTTCCATGTGGTGGTCAGACCTTCTCATGTGAAATCTGAATTGACCTGTAGAGAAGCAGTTCTGACCACCACTGAATTTTATTTTTTTTTAATAATTTTTTATTGTTACGTTACTCACCATACATTACATCATTAGTTTTTGATGTAGTGTTCCACGATTCATTGTTTGTGCATTAACACCTAGTGCTCCACGCAGAATGTGCCCTCTTTAATACCCATCACCAGGCTAACCCATCCCCCCACCCCCCTCCCCTCTAGAACCCTCAGT